TGGTTGGGGAGATGTTGGGAGGCAGGCTGGACTTGATGATCCTAGAGGTCCTTTCCAACCACAGTGGAAATTATGCCTTTAATGGCTGCAGAAGCTTTTGGGTGCTTGAAGACTGTTTTCATCCTCAAGTCTGCTTTGAGCCAAACCACTCCAGTCTCATCAGCCTTTCTCCAAGGGCTGCTTTTCTACCAAGGCTTTCCTTGGTGGCTTTCAGCCAGCACTAGCCAGCCCACATCTTCCCAGTGGTGTGGCCATGCAGGTCCTCAGGCCACCTTCCCACTCTGCTCCTCTTCATGCTCCCAGCTGCTGGTCCTCCCCCAAACCCCATCTCCTGCAGGCATGGGGGTTGCTCCTCTCTTCAGAGGTGTGCTCCAACAGTTGGGTTCTTCCTGCCCTCCTTCAAACCACCTTTTTCTTCTCAAACAGTGCACTAAGGGGGTTTTGAAGGATCTGTTGGTCCTGCAGTAGATTTGCAGCCTCCTCCTGGCTGGTGTCACCATCACATTGAATACACACACACTGTTTTCCATCCTGAGAGTCAATAATTGCAATATTGATGAGTCCTGGAGCCAGGGCAGGCTCTTGGGTGATCAACACAACCTCCTTGCTGGGCAGGGAGACAGGGCAGCTGCTCCCTCAGCCATCCTTCCAGCCAGTCCCACTCATCCATCAGCCTTGGAAGCCTTTCCTGTGTAAAATACTTAGCAAATGGGAGCTGATCTTGCCTTCCCATTTCTTTTTGGAGTGTTTTGACAGGGACAGAAGCACAAGGGCAGGATTGTTCCCCAGTGTCACAGGCTGCTTGGGAGAGATGCAAAGTTGCCTACAAGCTCCTAGCCAGCTTGGAGGACACTGTTGACTCCCCTGACCCTGGGGAGGAAGGACCCCAGTTCTTCCAGATCCCATCTGAGCTGCACACAGGAGCCAGCATGAGTCAGGCAGCCCTAGAAATATAAACAGAAATAATAATATTAGTATTATTATTACATATGGTGAATTGCTCACTTCCCTGCTTCCTCCTCCACCCCTTGGCCTCTAAAGCCTTTAGGATTGTGGCTTTCCAACGAGTCACTGCCACAAAGGCAACCAAGATCCCTTAACATCTCTGCAGGAATAACTCCTTTTGGGCCAGGAGCAAAAAAATCCACCCTTTCTCCTGCCACTGGGGGAAAGAAAAGAGCAGGGAGGCAAAATAACCATAACCACAAGCCAAAAAAACACCCCTCATCACAACCATTCGAAACCAAACCAGCTCCTGGAGGCATTTCAGTGAGGTGACAGGAGTGTCAGCCCTGTAGAAGCATCACTGGGGTGATTAAAGCTTCACTTTGGGTTTTTTGGCTTTGTACACACCCAGGATGGGTTGAGCTCTGTAGCTGAACTAATCCTAAACATCAACTCTCTTGCTAAACTTGGTCAGATCAAGTGCCCACACTTATCTTTCTATTCTTACCCTTCAGGGCCAGGAATGC